TTCTGAGAATTTCTATTCTATATATCATAATGACTGCAGATGGCGGTTTGATAAAATACAAGCATAAAGTAAAATTTTACTTCTCTCTCTTCTTTTCGTCCTACAAGGATTTTGGTATGAGTGGTATCAGAGTGGGAGTGCTGTATACCAGGAATCATGAGATTCGGAAAGCTGTGAATCAGCTGGCTGTCTTCCACGGCTGTCCTGGGCCCGTGCAGCATGTTCTCAGTCAATTCATTAGTGACAGAGGTTAGACATGCTAAAAATGTGTCCATTGGACTTTCCTTTATAGGCAGAAATAAAACAGAATGCTGTTTTTCTTGCTGTGGTAGATTGGTTGGACAACGTGTTTTTTCCTACCAACAAAAAGCGACTTAGAGAAGCACAGAATATTCTTGTGGATGGACTTGCAGATGTTGGAATACCTGTGCTCAAAAGTTCGGGAGGACTGTACGTGTGGGCAGACTTCAGAAAAGTATGTAAGAAGTTTGAAAAGGGGCAGGGATGTTAAATAACAATAATTGTGTATGTTGGTACACACTACAATATCGGGTCCCTGAAAATCCTTTAAAGAATTTATGAATTTGTTCAGTCTTTAACAAAGTTTTATTTTCTTCTTTTAGTTCTTGAAATCACAGACATTTGAAGCTGAACTTGAATTATGGCAGAAGCTCCTTGATGAAAAACTCCTGATTAGTCCTGGAAAAGCTTTTCATTGTTATGAACCTGGATGGTTTAGATTTGTTTTTGCTGATTCTGTAGATAAGATTTATTTGTGTAAGTTTGTGTTACTTTTGATGTACCACAAAGCAGCATTCAAGTTTTAAGAATATGTAACATTGCAAAATGATAAGTTCTAATTTGATTGTTCCATCCAAGTTTGTGAGGGGACTATAACGTACAAACTGGGAAGTATTATACTGGCCTCAAGTGTAGATTGCAAAGTATTTGTTTTGGATTATATCAATTCTTTGAAGTTTGCAGAGCTTCGTTTCAAACATCATCTTCAACTCTATCAGGAGTCCGTGAATCAAATTTTATGTAGCATGTTCTTTCCTCTCTCAAATTACCCTTTATAATTTCATGTGAGAATTCCTCAGCACCACTCATTTTTATGCAACTCTTGTGTTGTTTATGAAAAACTCACCCATCATCTCCTATGTCATAAAATTCTCAATCTTGAATCAGTGCAGTGCACCGTTGTCAAAACATTTGTTTGTGAATTAATGGGAGTAATGAGAATATAGAATCATACAAAAAAAAA